CCAAAAAATCAAAGTTCCATGATGGTTACATGAGAGATGTGATATCTTCCTCATCACCTTCTTATGGTGTTGGTGTTCTTCAGGGAATGAGGGAGTGCAAGGCCTTGTGCTGTTTCCTTATTTAGTAACTAACAGTTAACACTGAACCAAGCCCAACCCTGAGTGAGATACATTTACTGTTTTTATGAACTTTGTGTCTTCCTTCCCTGTGGCTTTTGCTGTTGCTTCAGTAACTGTGAGTGATGCACCGACATTCTTACAAAGGTCTGATTATTCTACAGAGTCGAAATGAGTAATTGGCAAACTAATTCATTAGAGCTACCCTCCAATTATTGAATCAATCATCTGTATAAGCAAGCTGTCCTGTTTATAAATGACACATGTACCTCTAAGTGAATAATTGTGGACTTTTTTTTTCTCCATTTTTCCCTTTCTACAAGGATTTAGAGGAGGCATTTCTGTGGCATGTGACATATCTTCTTTTTTAAGATTTGTTTTCATTATTTTTAAGTATGTGTATGCCAGTGAGGGTGGAGTATGTAAATCTAAGTTGTCTTAGTCACTATTCTATTGCTATGAAGAGACACCATGACTAAGACAATTCTTACGAAAGAAAGCATTTAATTTGGAGTTTGCTTGCAGTTTCAGAGGTATAGTACATTGTCAGCATGGTGGGGAGCATGGCAGCATGCAGGCAGGTGCTAGAGCAATAGCTGAGAGCTGCACCTTGATCTGCAAGCAAATAGGAAGAGTCTAGACCTGGCATGGGCTTTTTGAAACCTCAAAGCTCACCCCCAGTGGCACACTTCTTCCAACCAGGCACACCTCCTAATCCTTCTAATCCTTTCAATTTCAAGTAGTACCACTCCCTGGTGACCAAGGAGAGGTCAAATACGGGAGCCTTTAGAGGCCATTCTTATTCAAACCACTGTGTAAGTGAGGTTAGGAGGAAGCCAGAGGTAACAGATCCTCCTGTTGTTGCTGGTGTTACAAGGAGTCATGACCTGCCCAACATGGGTGCTAGGAACAAACTTGAGCCCTCCAGAATAGGAGTGTGCATACTTAACCACTGAGTCATCTCAGTTGAATGCAGGTAACTGGGGCCACAGAGTCAGGGCCCAACAAAAGATGTGTAGGAAAGCCTTAGAAACAGCCACTAGTGTGTACCAGTCAGTGTGCTGGTTGAGCTCTGACCAATAAACATGATGTTCCAAGTGCTTAGTCGTGTTTTCACCCTCTTAATAACTCCCATGGATAACCACTGCTTCCCACATTGTGTGAACAAGGTGATGAGGTAACGGAGGGCTTGTTCAAGTTCATGCAACCAGAAAATAATGGGTCCAGCTTTGAACCCAGGTTCCCCAGAGCCAGAGCACACTCTACTGCTCTGTTTGCCTTGATTCCATCAGCACTCTTACAGAGACTTAGTATTTCCAGCATAGTTTTGGAAGTTCTAGAGCACCCTCCAACTGAGGAAAAATGTGAACCAAGCTTTCAGAGCCTTGAGAAACTCTTCCTCCTGCATGCCTGAAACCCAAAACTATATCAGCACCCTTAAATCCGAGAGAATAGGACTGCAAACTAGCTTTATGAGGCTTAGGTAATGGCACAATTTGTCGTTACAATTTTCTATGCTTTTTTTGGTATTATTTAAAAAAAAATCTCTTATGGTAGGAAATTTATAAATGCTAAAACAACCATTCCTAATGGCTACACCATGTTAATTATCACTCCTGGTGGTAATGCTACAGTAATTCAGACTTTAACATTTACATATGTTATAAATAGTCATTGTTAATAATAGGTAATTCAATAAAAAGTCAATCATATGTCAAGGACTATTCTAAGTTCATAGGCAGCTTTCTTTCTTACTTTATATTATGCCATTTATTATATTTATTTCCAGTTCAATGCTCAAACTTTCATTGTGTATAATATTTGATTTGCTTACAACTTACACATTTAGGTTTTTTTATACTATTATAGATAATACTAAAATGAATATCTTTTGTTTCTGATGATTTCCTATGATAACTGGACACATTTCTAGACATGCAGTCCTAGGTCAAGGGCTGATCCATTTCAGGTTCAGTTTTGATAATTAATTGCCAATTGAACCCCAGAACCTGCATGTGATTTATGCTACATTTCTGAAACATTTAACAAAGTGACTATACTTTGGGGAATTTAAATTCACAGGATGTGATCAAAATAAATTGTCATAAGTTTTCCAACATGAAAATTCACTATTGTGAGCTTCTCAGAAAAGTCTTAAGTCACATGTAAAGAGTGTGGCCTTGGCTTTCATGAAGGACAATCAAGACCAAGTCCACATGAAAAAAAAAATGCTATAAGCAAACAATATCCTTTAAATAAGGGAAAATTAGCTTTATTTTGTTGACTGACATGTATTCATCTTGTTCCCTTAGAAAAAAAATAGAATAGTCTGGAAACACAGCATTAAATCATTAGTGGATATTCTAGGGTGATCAACAAAAAGAAATGTAGACTTTGTGTGGTCCAGCCTTCTCACCATGTGGATCCATGGTCGGCTTGCTGTCTGGCCCACCGCTCTAAGACCCATTTTCTCTGTGCCTCTTTACTTGCCTTCAGCATCCTCCTTACACACAGTGTCCTTTCTAAAATGCACTTCGTCTCAACCAGCTAATCTATCTTCTTTAGTTGCTTCTCTATAACCAACTTGGTGACTAGGTCACAAGCCCGCAGAGGGCCGCTCTCATGTCTTCATCCTATGGGAATTCTTCCAGGAAAGGACCTCTGGTACCCAGGTTTACTTTTCCATCTATATGGAGCCTCTTGTGTGTTCTCTGGGGAAATACAGTAAGACAAAAAGAGTCCACCAGTGCCTCTTCAGAGCCCTGGGGGGCTTGGAATCCCTTTACATCATAATGACCTCTAATAAAGGTATAGTCACTTAAGCCAGCAAGTCATTTTCCCATACAATAGAAACATAAACTGCTAAACAGCTCCCACTTTAGTTATTACCACAGTTGGGACATAATCTCAGCTAGAGTGTGAGGAGTGGCTAATGGACAGAACCTGGCATTTGGCTCAGTACTCTAGGTGTCCACAGCCTCTCTTGAAAAGCAAGTTTCTATGAAAACCCCCTTCTCATTTTAGTTGGGGTGTGAGGTATTTCTTCTATTAACTCCTGACTAGAAATCCTTCCTCAGCAGCCCTTTTTCACTAGGATAAGTGTTTGGTAAAATCTTCTTTGGAGAGTGCTTGGGCTCTGTATAAAGCCATTCTTTTTCAATATAGAAGCTCAGCAAACTAGCTTGTGCCTTTTTCTATCCCCTAATCATTCACTCTCCAGTTTCTAGAATTACCTGAAGAAAAGTATTCATGTTTCAAACCTTCCTCTGTGGAACAATTTGACCCTTCTGCCTCAGCCAAGAGTAGAGTTGTGAAATGAGTCTGCACAAAGCACTTCAGGAAACCAGTTCAGGGTCAACCTCAGACTATCTTGAAAAGAGGAGCAGATGCACTGAGTGGTGTCAGCAGGTAGTGAGAAGGTTGGAGGCAATTAGATTTCATCTCTAGAGAAATCTTAAACTCTCGGGAATGCTAGCTAAGGAAAACAGACTGTTGACCCAAGAGGGTCCTCGAGTCTCTCATGCCTCAAGTATAGAAATGTCCAAACCAACCACAGAGAGAGAACTGGGCAGCTTCAAACCAGACAGTAACAATGTCTCCTAATCTAATTTTCCATCAAAAAACCTACAACAAAGAAAATGCAGAAACCATCCTTCAGATTCTGGGGACCGGGAAGTAGCTAATGGAAGCATGTATTTATCATATTGATTGGTCCATCGATTTCCCCCTTCTTAAGCTCCCATTTCTTGGTTCTATGCCAGACATGCTTTAAAGAGCTTAAACAAAACTTACACCAAACCTTGCCAACAGCCCCCAGGGAACCTGCAAACCAATCTTCTCTCTTGTCACAGGATAACTACCTAGGTGAGTCCTTCACAGAAGAAAATGTAGAAAGTTTGGACCCATTTGCTATGTGATTAAGAACTCTGATGTGAAGGAGGGTAAGGGAACCTTCTGTCATGAACACAGACACCCTGGCCTCATGTATTCAAGGAAGGAGACATTTCTCAGGTACCCCCAGTTTATAGAAAATAGGTAATTTTCATCTCAGAGCCAGGAATGTGGCTGCACCATGCTGTCCTTCTCACCACCAATCTCAGAAGTTCTGGAATGGTTGAGTCTTTGATTCATTGGTTATTAGACTGTTGTGCTTAAGATCACCAAGGGCATCATTTTAAATGCAGTTTATTGGATCTTCCCTCAGAGATCCTACTTCAGTGGGGAGCAAGGAATTGGAAGCCACAGACCAATTCTTGGTAAAGGGTGTCTTTGAGCCAATCTGGAGAAATATGGCAAACACCACTGTATCTGGTGACTAACACAGTAGCTGGAAAGGAACCGGTAAGTATTTGGAGGATGGTGACAACTCCTAGGTTACTCCTGTTCTTTCACATACTGCAACCCGGAGTCTCTCACCAACCCTTGAAGATCAGGAACATGTCAAGAGATCAGTACTGGCTACCCTCCTTAGAGGGCAAACCCCAACTCCAGCCTAAGTCCACCCAAGTGAATCAACACAGCTTTTGTTGTTGTTGTTGTTGTCTGAAGCAGGCCCTCACTCGGTAGCTCAGGCTGGCCTTGAGTCACTGTGTAGACCAGATTGACCTCCAGCTTGTGGTAGTCCTACTGCCTCTGCCTCCCCACGCCAGAATGACAGGCATGAACCACCATACTCTACAGGGTGATGTTTTAAAGCAGATACTGCGGCGGTCCTGGCTCCACACCTTGTACTAATTCTGAGAGCTGGAAACTGACGACAGTGCTGCATGATGTGGTCTTGAGTCCACGGATTCTGAAGGGCTGGAGCCCATATAGCAAGGGAAGGGTGTTGTGAGTAAGGATTTGCTGCTGCTTATCACATTCTCATCTGTTTGTGTACATGCAGGTAACGATACACTTGTGGAGGGCAGAAGACAACCTGCAAAGTGATTTCTCGACTTCTATCATGTGGGCCCTGAGGACAAGACTCGGATCATCCGACTTGGCAGCAAGTACCTTTGCTCAATTAGACATTTCACCAGCCCAAGATTTTCAACCTTTAGCCCTGTATTGTGAGGGTAAAATTACAGTTTAAGTTTAAATGACTGTGCTTAGGAGATCTATACAACAACAACAACAACGCCTCTGACCCGTGACCCCACCTGCCCAGGGACAGATGACCTCCTGGAATGCTGGGGCTGCTGTTCATGTGAGATAACAAGCCACTTGTTCTCACTTCCACTCACAAGTTTGGTTGCCCCCACAGTACAGGATTTGCTTGATCACTCATAGGCAGGAAGTATGCAGGCAGGAAGCATGTCAGGGTATATGCTTGCCCCTGCTTGGATGAAGGCAGGAAATATGTAGTCTTGTGGGTTTTGCCTTTATAAGAACCTGACTAACATAATTCACAGCCATTTTCTGGGAATCTCTGGTCTGAACCTGGCCAGTGTCCATCTTCCTGGCTGGTGTTTAATAAAGCCTGCTTCAAATTTGGCTCAAACATTGTGGTAGTGGCCTTATTCTTGCCTAGTGGGATTAATAGTACCGTCACGGCTTTTCTTCAGCCGCCATTCTTATCATCCTGAACAACCTCGTGTCACAACAATTCTAGCCTCATAGTACTGAACAAAGGGGTCGCAGATGGCTCATTCTTAGAAGGAAAATAAAATGGACAGAATTCAGTCTTAGCACAGGGTCAGTTCAAGGTATAACTGTCAAATAGATTACATGTTTCTTCCTTTCTTTATCCAAGCTCTGATAAGTCACCTAGGTCTGTATATTCACCTGTCCCCATTTGCCGAAAGGGTATCTCTCGTTAGAGATTTGCACCCAGGTTGTGTGTGTTCGGTCCCTTACTTTGGGAGAAAAGCTAACCACACAAGTACAGACACACATCCTAACAACAGAACTCGAACTTCTTTACCCCAAAGGAATTGCCCTTTTTTTGAGGTATCAGGCACAGGTGTTATTATGGAGTAGAGGTTTGGTGAGTTCTCTATTTGGGAAATAAAGCAAGTGAAACTGAGTATGCCTGGGAATCTTGACCTTCGCGACAGACATATTCATATCTATCCACACAAAATCTCCACATATTTGGCACTCCATGACCTATGTGCCTGCATCAGGAGATTTTTCTGTTTTTAAATATTAAAAGGGGTGAAAGAGTTCGTTTCCGTTTCAGTGGCAGGCAAACCCCGTGGTAGCTCTGCGCAGCCGGAACAGAATTCTATTTCTGCAAAGATTACTGGACAGAGGTTGAAGGTGGAAGTCTGGGGAGGGGATGTCTGACCACAGCTCAAGCCAGCATTTCTTACGCACCTTACTGCTGCAGAGGATTTGTGCCCACCAGGGATCTCTGCCAGCAGTGTGTGCGCGTGTGTGTGCGTGTGTGTGTGCGCGTATGCATATGCGTGCCTGGGAAGGGGAGGTAGAATATTTTAATCAAATCACAAACTTCTTTGCTTGAAATCTTAGGAGCTCTTGTGGATTTAATTGGTTCACTCAAAGCAGCTCGTCCCTTGTAAATGAGGGTGCTGCTGACGAAGGCTGCCATGGGAAATAATAGGCCGGCTTCATGTGAGTCTCCCTTTGACTCCAGTGTGTTTAAGGGGAAGTTCTCAGCTGGGGAGGCATAGCTCTTCATCCTTTAAGATGGATGAACCTGTGCCTTGATCCAACAGGACAAGGAGCTGCTCTGCTTCCTGCAACTTGTCTACCCTCTGGGAATTCACTTCAGAAGAGACGTCACTCTACACTGCACCACCTAGTGGCCAGTGTGGAGAACAACAGTCAGAGGCAAAAACTATTTCAGACTGGGGGACACAAATTTTCAAGGCACTCTTTGGAAAGATATCATATCAATTGGATGAAACTCTTGAAAGAACTTACCTGTTGGACATGCACACCTATTGGAGGTGCACACCTATAATCCTAGTACTCAGAAAGCTAAGATAGAAGAAGTCAATGCAAAGTTCGTGTGCGCTACAAAACTAAAAGAATGCAGCAATTGGGCCACAGTTCTAACACTGTCTTCTGCAACTGAACCCATCATAAAATGGTGTTATTATGATGGTTAAGAGAGAAGGCTTTTGAGAGCAACAGATGTGAGTCAAATCCTGACTTCTCTAGTCACTGGAGTCCTAACCTTAGACGTGCTACTCAGCATCTTGGCTCTCTGAAAATGGAAGGTGGTAACAGGACCTACTCTGTAGCTTTGTTCCTGAGAAGAAAAGAAGTAAACGAGATAGTGCACGAGGAGGGTTTGTCATGGCGTTCAGCACAAAAGAATCGACTGGAAGAGTTTAACTGGATGACATAAACACAGTGCTTTATTTGAGAAGCCTCGCTTCCCTCTTAGAAACTAAGTCGTGCTTTTCTGTATGACCAAGAGTCTGATGGCGGAGTTGCCTTTTGAAGAAGTTGCAAGATCTTTTATTAATTCAGCATGTGACTTTTGTAATTCTTGAATTCAATCAATCAAGTAGAAGTAACGTCTAACCTCCCATCTGTATGAAGGGGATGTCTACTTGCCATCAATGTAGATTGTAAGTGCCCATCTCCTTTAGCTTTACTGGTCCATGTGGCCAACTAGCTCTCTCAAACCATTAGTGGTGCATGCCAGATCCTTAACCAGTCCCAGCACCTAAAGCCATTGTCCATTCAGAAAAAAATGTCTGGTCACTTCACAATGCACCAAAGGATGGGAGATTTCAGTTGAAGGCAGCTTACCCCAATCAGGGAGTCAAAAGTCCCCTACTCATTTCCTATGCTCTTCATCTCTCTTTATGTTAATACTGATTTTATAGATGCATATGAAAGCTTCACTCAGACTACAAAACTTGGCATCTGCAAAACACATGGACAAGTTGTTGAGGAAGGGGTGAGTTACAGAAAAGTATTATTATCTGAACCCAGTAGATCAGTTTTGAATGATCACCCAACCATAGCTTGGTAAGAACAGGTGTGCTGCCTGGTGACTTATACCAACTTGACACAAGCAAGAGTTGTCAGAGAAGGGAGCCGCAGTTGAGAAAATGCCTCCACAAGACCAGACTCAGGCAAGCCTGTAGGACATTTTCTTAATACAGTGATTGATGGTGGAGAGCCCAGTTCGTTTTAGGTGGTGCCACACTCAGCTGCTGGTCCTGATTCAATAAGAAAGCAGGCTGAGCAAGCCATGAGGAGCACCCAGTCAGTAGCACTCCTCCATGGCCTCTGCATCAGCTCCTGCCACCAAGTTCTGCCCTGAGTTCCTGTTCAGACTTCTTCAGTGATGAATAGTGATGTGGAAATGTAAGCCAAATAAACTCTTACCTTCCCGAATTGCTTTTGGTCGTGGTGTTTCAGCCTCACCTGACTAAGACAAAAGATAAATAAAATCCAAGGGAAAAGATATTGGAAGACTTGGGAAGATAGATTTAGTCAGTATAAGCGATAAGGTCCCAGGTAATGGGGAATGGCTATTATTTAATTCATCTATTTGTAATATAGTTCATAGTACAGAAATAAGAGCCAAAGAATAAAAAAAAGGCTCAAGTGTTGCACCGTCCATATTTTAAGTTATTATCACAAAGCATATATTCTTTGGCTCTTGTTCTTGATTTTATTCTGCATAGGACCTAGGAGTAGGTAAGAAGGTTATGTAGCTTCCATCTCTACTCAGGTGCCCAATGTATTCTGTTGTCCGTGTTTAATTTTGAGAAGTGCTCATTGAAGGGTTGCTTTAGGTCCAATATTATAAGAACTAATTTTCACACCAGACTTCTCAATTTAGAAGTCCTTCTACTGTGGATTGTTCAGTTTGGTCTCCATAGTAATAAAGTACATTCCGTGGGTCATTATCAGAATTTACACTTTCACAGATGAGGCTCCGAGAAACAAGGTGACTTGCTCAAATACTCTCTGCAAAGCATGTCCATGCTGAGTGAGACAGTGTTCTTCGGGGTGTATATATATATGATGCCAAGGAAACTTAGGCAACATCCGCCCCTGAAAGTCGTCCAGAGACAAACTGAATGGTCTTCTACATCAAGTGCTCCGGTAGATCAGGAGCCCCCATGTGAATTCTGCTAGCCCTGTAATTGAGATCCTTTCTTTCCTCTAAATGAACAGTGATGGTAATAATTAAGCTTCAGGCTTCCGTACTTCCCTTTCATCCCAGTTCTTCAACCAGACAGGAAGGAACCACCCCCTTTGTATGACTGGGCTCTCCTTTCAAGCTAGTCTCTGTCCATTTGAACATCTACACTTTGATTTCTGAAAAAGGACTATCTTAGGGAAACCTCATGGATTGGAATCCCCAAACGCAGAGTCAAATCATTTCAGAGTGGGGTGTTGTAGGTATATAAAACTTTTCTGAATAAATAAAGTCGCTGCTCTTACACATGATAATGAAGTTAAGCCAAGTCTCTAGTCAGCAACATCTGCAAGTGTAGCTGGGAGTCTGGAGGCAGAACACAGGCAGAAATGTGAACAATCCACGCTAGCCCGCCTCCTCCCAGCCTTCCACCTGCAATAGACTGTATTCATATCTCCCAGAGGAAATATGCTATTACTGATAATATGATCACTGAAACACTGGGAGTGGTTAGATTCCAAGCTCTGGCAGTGGGTTAATAAAAGGCCTAATGAAGAACAAAAAATTCTGCCAGTCGCTGTAAAAAAAATATTGCCCTCGGGAAATTATAAATCAGACACCATGGTGTGAAGATATATATATATATATATATATATATATATATACTGGATATATATATACTGGATATATATATATATATATGATCTCCATCCTGCATTGACTCTGTGATAAATTCACAAGTGGGCAGACTGGTGACGAAATGCGTATGTCACCACATGCCTTTGAATTCCAGCCCACCTCAACATGACGCAGTGTCCCCAGCAGTGCTGAGCCACAGCCACACTTACTCAGCCTCGTCAGATATACTGCTCCACGCAGCAGAAGCAGGATGCCTGGACCGCAAATTAGTCACAATTCCCACAGCCTCACTTGCTTTTCCCTCTTTATTTTTATCTTGTTTTTATTTGTTTGTTCGTCCAATTCCACAGCATTGATCTCAATAGACTCTTAAATGCTGCTTGTGGGTAGAGACCTGTGTTTAGGGTTTTCTTAATATACCCACGTTGAGCCTGTCTGTAAAGGACCCAGTGGAAATAAGTTTTTTAGGCAGCCTCAACAATTCCACCTGACGAATATAGGAAATGTGATGAACGAAGCAGCCCAGGGTCCTGACAAATCACAGCAGCACCTTATCTCTTAGCTAAACTGCTGTTGGTTAGGAAAGGA